AGTGAAATGAAAATATCGTAAATATATTTGGCTACGTTGATTTTCCCTGAGTGCAGCTGCATTGGAGGCAGCTCATGCCACCTGCATGCGCAATTAGTCGGAAGAGGCCGCTCATGAACGATTTGATTTACTCGTCTACTCTAATTCCGTTTATTTTTCTGGCTTTATGTCGCCCTGCTCCCAGACACGCACGACATTGTGATGAGATTCAATCATGCGCCAACGCAAGGACACGAGGTGGATGTTGGCAGCAAAACCACGATTCGTGTGGTGAATTCGCAAGTAGGCTAAAACGCAGTTCCGCTCTTTCGATTGCAGTTGCATTTTCCGCGCTGTGTGCTTCTCCCTCCCCTTCCCGCAGGTGGTGACCAAGCCCGAGTTCGACTTCACCCATGCCCCCATCTTCCGGAACGTAACGATCGCCGCCTGGGACCCCGGCAAGTACAATGGCACCCTGGAGGACTGGCTAACCAGCGCGGACTACGACCTGTTCACCAACTACGAGATATACAGGCGCCGCTATCCCAAGTCGCGGGCCTTCTTGATAGACCCCCACTCGGTTTGGCGGCTCTGGCAGAGCTTGCAAATGTTTGCCGGAAATCGACCGATAAGCAGGAATCCCCCCAGTTCCGGTTTCATAGGTGAGCCCTGAAAGCTTCCCTTCGTATAAACACTATTTGAGTAAAGTCAGCTCGCTTGTTTCACTTTACCTTATCCCTTTCCGTATATGGTAATCATATTTCGAGTAATATCTGAGTTAATCTTTCCCAGGACTGGCCCTGCTGCTGCCGCACTGTCCGCAGGTTGACTTTGTGGAGTATGTTCCCTCCACTCGCCTCAACGGACGCTGTCACTACTACAGCAAAGAGGTGGGCCTGAAGCCAATTAACCCTCTGACGTATTAACTGACTTCTCGTATTCCCAGATGAATTCCGCCTGCACATTCGGGTCCTGGCATCCACTGGCCGCCGAGAAGCTGATGGCCCTGGACATGAACATGGCGGAGGACGATGACATGTCGGTCTTCCAGTTCGGCATCCTGCGGATACGCAGGCCGGACAAATTGCTCTGCGGCTTCAATTTCTTTGGCTACTGAGGAGGAGCGCGACTCGGAGGCGATTCAAAGGCGGAAGTGGCAGCGACAATCCAGGTGCATTTAATCAAGCGGTTTTCATCGAGAGCAATAAACAATTCAACTTTGCAATGAATATAAACTGAAGTACTCTTGGCCGGCTCGAGCGGAGGAGTCTGTGTCCCAAGTGGATTCCGTTGCCTTTTGATTGCTTTTCTTGGCTGGGCGGAACAAAGCCGAACAGAAGTTATGACTGTCCTCATGGATTCATGTTTTCCTTTGCCATTAAATGCCATAACTGTTTGTCTACACGGGCGACCTGAGTGCAATAAGTATTATTATTATTATTCCAGCCCCAAGGATCTTGGGCGTGGGCGTGGACGTGGACGTTGAGGAGGGCGAGGTGAGGAAGGAAAGTACTCATTAATACGTGATGCGGCATGTCGAACGTGCGGCGACTCCCAAGTGGGGAGACAACAGCAGAAAGTCAGCATTATGATGGCAGTTTTTGGTTGATTTCTGCTGGCGTGGCCGGAGTTAAACGCTGCGTATACGCAATTAAATAATATATAGCCAAAATAAATATTGAGATTCCATTGAACCAGGAACAGGACACAAAACGAAAGTTATGGCCGAAGGGCGCTATCGAAAGCATCTCGAAAGAAAGCAAAATCGAGTCCGTTGAAAGTTTGATGGAATTCCGAAGAAGGCGAAGGTGAGGGTTTCTTGAACTGGTGGGCCACCTGCTCCTCCTCATTATTCCACTTGTCGGGAGTTTGCTCTTTTGCATTTCAAAAGCCAGCCACAAAGTTCATCTAACCTGAGTCCAAAAACAAGACAACGAACGAAGTGCAGTTCGAATTTTTGATTTAAATTTCCATTTCAGATTTTTATTTGACAAATGCAAATAGCCAGCCGGTTCACGTGTTTATGTTTGCCTTTGGGCCATTCTTTGTTTTGGTAATTGTGCAGCACCCCGCGCTGGAACTGGCCATTGCCCATCGCCCACTGGTTACTGGACACTGCCATTTTGACATTTTTACAAGCTCTTTAACTTTTTGTTTTGCTCTTCTGCCGAAAGCTCTGCGCGCAGGCGCGTTCGTTGCCCTCGTGAGAACGTGTTTGCAATGCTGATAAAGGCAAAGCAAAATTATTAATTTTATAGCTGAAAGTCATAAAGTGACTGCTGCGCGTGTGCAAATCGCCTCTATGGTAATAGGGCATTCGATTCCTAAGAAACCTGCAAAAGGTGCCTTCTCTTCCTAAGGCCAAAATGGTCATTTCAATATCTTTCTCATATCTTTATTATCTCACATCCATTGCAGTCACTTTCAGAACTAAACTATTACCAATCAAGACTGCCTTTAACAGAAGAGTCTAAGTAAGTGTCTCTACTCCCGAATCTACTTCTACCACCCAGCAGATTCCCTTTCCCTGCTAAAACGATTATATTTTTAGGAGTGTGTCACATTGGTTTTGCCTTCCCCTTCTGGCTGGAAGTGGAAAACTCCTCCACATCGACCCCCTAGTTGGGACCCAACTTTTATGTAGCATGCAAATTAAAAAATGTTGCTTTTTATTGGATTTTTATCGACTGCTGAATGACAGCCTCGGCCGCCCGAGAGGGTCAGCAGTGACATGGACATGGACATCTGTTTCGAGAATCGGAATACGGATGCCCCTTCCCCCCACACAATGTCAATTTGGGTTGAGTCCAATGCTGAGCTAATTGAAATCAAATGCCTGCCCATCTATCCATCATGGAAATTTCGGATGCAGGGCTCGATGAGCCACATTGGGCTGGCCGATGACTCAGTAGCCGAAATTAAGAGAAAGAAAATAAATTTCTGTTTTATTCATTTGCATTGCACGTTTGCTTAACCCTAGCCGGCTGTGGTCTGCTTTTGTTTTGGGTAATTTTATTTTCGGGTGAGAGCATTACTCAAGGGGATTCCGAGAATCACCGGGATAGTCAGTCGCACGCCGAAACAGATATGAAACATAACTTATGCACTTCTGTGGCCTGCCTTTGACGAAAGGGTTTAACCAGGCTTGTGGACACTAGGGTGATGCATCTGGGCGTGGGCTACGACCACAACACGTAGCGGTTTCGGTCGAGATCCAGACAAAAGATGCCTGCCACGGACAGCCAGCGAAGAGTCAAGGTCGGCAGACAACTTTATTTACTTGTCATTATCTTTAAGGTGGCTGATATGTGACTGGACGAACGGGAATGGCGAGGGTGGGGCAGATTCTGGCCCATAAATTCTGAACAACCGCTCTGTGTACTGGTAGTAAGGGACTTATTGGTGAAATATAGGCCTAGTCTGTAAAGATGTCCCACAGAGCACCTTGAATTCAGATTAAACCTCCTGTTAATGTCATCGAAATGTAATAAATGCCACGTCTAATATCAGCAAACGCACAAAGAGCCCGTTTGGAGGATTTCTTTTGACTCCCCAACAAGGAGTGGCCCCATCAATCAGTGCGGTTAATCAAGCAATCAAACAATCGCCCAATCAGACTTCCTGCTCGCCATTGAATTCCTCTTTTGTATCTAAAATCCTTAGTTTATCACTTTTGTGCGACAGCCACATCAAAATATTTAATTGCAATACAAAAGAAGACATTACACCCGAAGCGAGGGGCGGTCTCCGGGTGGGGAGTCCGGGGAAGGTGGGCGTTTGAGGAAGAAGCCGAGGGGACGGCATTCCAGCACGTTTGAGAGCGTATAAATCAAAATATAAGAACAATATAAAGCGAAATTTAGCATCGGGTCGAAGGAAAGCGAAGCAGAAGATCGGCAGCATGTTCTTTCCATGATTCAGCCACATCTTCGATCCGGAGAGCCTGTTCAAGTGGCGATAGCATGCCTACGCAACAGCCTGATGCATCCGACACTATCGCTTAGACCTGACCCCCTGATTCATCCGTCCAAGAGGTTGGGATCAATGCGTGACATTCCCGTTATCCGAGCAAGCGAGGAAGATCCCGGTAGCACTCACGGAAAGGGGGTGCTGACAGGGAAGGACGCCGTCATCAAACTTCTCTGAATGACTGGCGTTTCGGATCGGAACGATATCGGGTCGCCTTGCGCCCGGCCATATAAAAGAATCTAAGCTGAGCACCCCAGGCCTCAGTCTAGCACAAAAACGCACAACGAACTTGCAGTTACAGCAGCTTGCTGCAGGAAGGCAAATCTCTAGAGGCACATCATAGTGTAGTTAAGCAAATTAGCGAGTCTTAAAACAAATTAACTTGTGCTTCCGCTGCGTGAGGAGCTTTCCGCTATCGCGAGTGTCAAAATAACTGAGAGCGAGAGCTGCGCCCCAAGTGAATCATCGGTGGATCTAACAGATAGCCAAAAGCTCTCTAACTTCTGGCTTACAGAGAGCGGTAACAGCTAACAGCTAGCTAAAGGTGAGTCCTAGCCGCGGAAGGAGCTTTTATCAGCTCCTATTGGGTAGTTGAGGAGGATGGATAACTTTCTATGATAAAATAACATAGAAAAGGTTATTAAAGGTTATTAAACAAGTTAACATTGCTAGTCATGGTAAAGGGCTAACAGTGTGCGTAGAGCTTACTAGCTTTCTAGCCGCTAGGCAAAAGCAAGCCAGAAAAAGAGCTTTCTGGCTAATCCTGTTGCTCTGTAATCACATGCAAGGGACGAAGGACAAAGGGCGGCTAGCTATTTGCAACCACCAGAACTAGAATTCCACCTATGACGGGGGGTGTGTGTGTGTTTATGGCTGTTCGCGTGACTCGTAAACTAGAAACTAACACAGGCACAGGTCTTGGCCATTAGACCCACACACACTCGCAGCCCTGCTGAAAACAAAAAGCAAGAAGTAGGGGTAGTACGAAGACGGCGACGCGAAGTAGCTAGCTGCCACCACAAAGCCAGAAAGCTGGAAACAGAAAAGCCAGACGAGTCGCAATCGGAACTTGCTGTGAATCGGTCGCTATCGCACCTCTCGGAACCTCGGAGCAAGTCGAATTTAGCAGAAAGTTGGAAGTAATGCCAGTGGGCTGGACATGAGTGTGGATAATACCCAATCATAGCGAAATCCGCCCAGAGTGACAGTGACTATAGTCTTGATGCCGCGCTAGATGGGTTCGCCTGGCCCTTATCTAACTACGAAGATCTAATCGCAATCGCAATCGCAATAGGTCGCAGATAAAGCCTGATAAAGTTTAAGACACAGCGCCGAAGAACTTAAAGAAAACAAAAGTCGTGCAAGTTTGTGCAATATTTGCTGAAGAACACGGGCACCCGAGTTGATTATTTCACAAATTGGTTTATGCAAATTCTGATTGCTCAATTCACCGCCCGTCTGGCTGCGCCTCTGGTGAGTACTCTGAAGTGACTCATCTCCGACGGGGAGTTCCACTTTCTCGAGGGGCATCATCGGCGGAAAGTGATCTTTTGTCCGGACTTCGCATTTGACATTGTGGCCTTATGGTAGACCCGGCCTAAGCAATCATCACGTAGCCGCTTTGTAGCATTCCGATACATGAATACATATAATTATAGATACATCAGATACTTCATATACCGCTTGCCAAGCGGCTGTGCGACTGTCAAAGCCTGACCGTGACGTGATTGAGTTTAGAAATAGTTTTTCGCACTCAAAGTCAGTCTATTCAAATAAACATACTATATTCATATACAATTAGCATTATCTGCCCGATCTGTATGACAATCATATGTTCTGCTTGGCTTGGTGCCACAGTTCAAAGGCAAAAGTCAATGCGAAATCGTTTGTTTTCCACTTGCGCCGCGGAAAAGTTCATTTCACTGCCGGCGAAGGCGAAGGCAACAAACCTTAATGCTAGCAATCGGATCGGATCAGATCGGAGGGGCATGGTCTAAAAATACCATAAATAGTTGTCATTAAAGGCAGAAGAAGCTCATAAATATTTCATTGTTCGAAGGCAGGGCAGCAACTGCACCGCACAGCAGGCGACGACGACAAGTCAACTTGTCCACTGCCATAACAGAGGAGGAATATATATTCCCAGAGCTCAGGGCTCAGACCAGATGGGGACTTGGGGGGCTGCTAAAGAGGGGCTGACAGCAGGCCAGATGCACTTGGTCCATGAATAAATGGCAGCAACAGCATTGGACTCATCTCCCGGCCCTCGCTTTGTTCTGCCAAGTTCTGCCAAGCTCTGCCAGTTCCATAAAGCGAACCAGGAATTGTCGTTAAGGCGAAATGTCGCCTATTATCTGGCTGTCGGATTTACTTCTCGCTCTTTAGCTGCACGCCCAGCTGAACCTTTGGCTTGGGCTGGCAAGCAGGCAAACTGGTAAACAATTGTTCCAGACGATTACTAGATTTGTTTGCGCTTAGGTAGCAATTTGCTTCACGTGGCCCGCTGCTTTTCTAGGCTGAGTCACCGAAAATTGCACTCAATTGGCATTAATGGGATGGCACGGACGCAGGCCAGACTATATTATCGATTCCCAGAAGAAGATGCCTCGAGATGAATAGCCTATTAGGGCACATGCTTCCGGAGTTCAAGAAGATTCGTAAGCCAAGGATTAGTCAGAATTTTCAACCATTTGCTCCTTTTTATCTGCAGAACAGAACACCAAGAGAAATGTTTTGCTTATTACTTTCGAATCATTGCTATCAAAACTAATTCTCCAAGCTTGAAAGCTGGTTAAATATTTTATTTGAGTTTGCTTAGGCTGGATGTGGTAAATTTGATGCATCATGTTTATGTTTTTAATCTTCTCCTTTTTTTAGTTCTCCTCTAATATGTAAAATATCTGCCTTAAAGTTGTATGCGTGGCTTGGGCACACCTTTAGCCTCATAAAATTTGATTATCACTTATTAACTTACGCATTACTCATTCGCCCATTGAGAAATCGCTTGGCCACGGGGATTCCAAACCGCAGATTCATTCATAAGTTTTTCTGTTAGCTGCTAACTGAGACAGATTCAGGCGAAATTGGATGCGAATTTCAGGAAGCGAGAGCTGTAAACAGTTGTAACCGCTGGGGGAAGGGCGAAGGGAGAGGGGAACTTGCCAAACTTCGAGATAAACTGTCAAATGCCACTGAATGTAGGTGTTTTGTGGCCGCGGCGGCTGCTGCTGGACCGGTGGCGTATGACACATATGTGGATGATTCCAAGAAACGGATTACTCATCCGCAGGGGTGGGGAAGGGACAACTTCGATTATTGGCAACAGGTTTCGGCAGTTCCCCGCCACGGAATCTCCACTCGGCGCTAGCATCGCCTCTGTTAAGCCGAAAGCTTTCCCCCTTTCCAAAAGCTCCGAGCACGATCGTCGCCGCCGCAGTCGTCGTCGTTCGCCAGCGGCCGCTGAAGATCAGTTGAAATTTGCGCGCTGCCCAGGGCGGATGTGTTAAGCGGCGAGAACCGAAACAGTAATAGTAACAGTAGCAGAATCGAAGCTTAACCCGATAATACAAGCCTAATTCAAAAAGAAGATATTCGAAAAGTGAAGCAGTTCAGTTTTGAGTTTTGTTTTGAACGCGGAAACGAGCGGGAAAATGGAAATGGAAGTGCCAGCGGGCAATTAGTGCAGCCAGACACAAAAGCCAAAAAGACACAAAGTAGAAACAAAAGGACTGCGATTATAAATCATAAACAACGACAACACATCCACAGCGGAATACGCAGCGACGACAGCCACAACAAGCAGCAGAGAAAGAAAATTAAGTGTATGTGCCGAGAGCTAATTAATTAATTCGTAAGTGTTGCAAGCGACATGCAGCCACAAAGGCGGCAGCAGTAGTTCATTGATCTGGAACTGCATCCCACTCGCGGCTTGCAGCTTGCCACTCGCAGCTCTCAGCTGAAAGTTAATTGAAAGGTCAAGAAGCGGGACCAAGCCCATTAATCAGGCCTAGCCCTGCGAGCACTCCACTTTGGAGGTGAACTTGAATTCCACTCCAAATTGGAAATGTTTCGACATGGGCGACCACTTGCCCAACTCTGCTCACGATATGGCTATCACTAAGGTCAAGTTCTAGTAACACTTGGCCGACTCATAGCCGAAAGTATTAATTTGGTAATTCACAACATAACTTCCAGCCGATCCCCACCATATCTTATCGCTCACGGGGCATATTCATTGGGGAAAAGTCAACTGATAAGGTGAACAATGCCAAAAAGCTATAGCAAGTGGAATTCGGCGTGGTTGGGCAATATCGGGGTATTTTTCAATAGACTTTCGAGGGAGGGAGGCGGGGCAGTTTTGGCAAAACTGGTTGGAATCGAAATTTGTTTATTATTATAATTTATTAGTAAGCCAGCTCTGCCAAGCAGAAGCTTGACGCACGCTTCTTGGAACGAATCCGATTCCGATTCCGATTAAGAGGAGATTCGGAGAGAAGAAGGAGCCGGCCAACCGGTTTCAAGTTGGCCAAATCCGCCTTATCAGCATCGAGCAAAAGCCCTGTTTATGACCCAATTCAGAACATCGCGCACACACCCAGACGTGTGCTACATGTCGTATACGTAACCATTATGATAAAATAAACAGGGCAAACTTTCGCGTTGAATGCAATTTCGCCATCGATTGCTTTGGCCAAGCACTTAAAACTCGCGTTTATTGATCTAACAAGCGGGCGAAATGCGTCCATTGTTATGACAACCCCGCGGATCCTCCCCCACCGCTGCCGCTCAACTTTCCCCTTCAACCCATCAGCGGAGTTAACCACACGGCGCTAACCTTAAACTGCCAGCCAGCGACCTTCACCCCGGGCGAAACATTTGCCCAAATGACAAAATGGGAATGGTTTATGGTATTTGCTTAACAGAAATTATTGTAATCAGATAACACCCGGCCCATGGGGTGTGCGTATATCCATTATATATTTGCAAGTTCATTTGGCTGGTTCTAGCGGCTAATTGCGGAACATAAAAAAGACTGTTAACTGTGTCCGCCCAGAAATCCCCAACGATTAGTCAGCAACAACAACTGTCGGGCTTAACTGTACAGTGTCCGCTGCTAGATATATATATCATGAATGTGCAGAAGTGCCTGCCACTCGGCGTATACTTGATACGACTTATCGCACACTTCAGCCCGTCATTCCCGCTGATGTCGCACACATCCCGGGAGACAACTCAGCATAGGTGCAAGATATAGTGGGACAAACATCTCCATAAACCATCAAGTCTATTTATCCGATTCTGGCACTTGCCTCGCGCCCTAGGTCAACATGTTCCATAACTCCACAAATATACGAGACTATATACGCGACCACGGAAAACTGCAGGCTATTTTTAGCTAGCCAAATATCAGAATATCAACAACAGACTCCACAATCCTTTACGGTTATTGCCGAGTTGGTATTTACTAGTCTAAAATTAAATTCTAATTGGAGTCTAAACTTACACTCGAGTCGTTTATGACGTCCGAGCCAGCCAGACATCAGACCACATGACTCTCTGTGTCTCGGCCGATCAAAACATCAGGCGCAGGACAGCTGCTTGGCCGAGAGGCTCAACGAATCCGAAATACTCTCCGGGTATTAGGGAGATTATCGTAGATATGGTGGCGGGTCTGCAAATATTTGGCACTGATAAGGGGATATTCCGGGCAGATGGCTTAATGGCTTCCCAAGATGTGCGAAGTGAGAGTGCAGTTTTATGTGTTGGCTGTCGGCAAAGCAAAGTGTAAAGAGTGTTGTTTTGGCCGGGCTACTATGCATTGTAGAGGCCCTGCTCATCTCGAGTGCCACTACTCGAGTTGTACTATTTTTTACTACGACTTGGTATACTATGAAGCCGCTTCTTGGCAACGCCGGGCACTTCCGTTTGCCGTTCCACCTGCCACACGGAATGTGTGCCACATTCAACCTGTTGGAAAGTGGGGGTGGGAGTGGAAGCGGTTTCCGTTCGCCCTTTTGCACTTGTACTTGGCCTGATCCCTTTCGGCCAGCTCGTTCCATTCTGGCCCGTTCCTGTTGGCTGCTTTATTACTTGGCCGCTTTATGAAATATTAATTGACCTTTTTTCTACCTTCCTTTTACCTTTGCTTGCAGTGATATAAAGTTCAAAGTGCTACCGGCAAGTGGAACTAGAAACTACATGACAATTAGACAACCAGCGGGAGCAACCAACAGCAAAACCAGCAACAAAATGACAAACTGCCAAAGTTCAGTGTTCGTAGTCGTAGGCACCCTGCTATCCATCCTGGCAGCGGCCCAAACGGCACCCGTCTCCACCACCACACAGGCAGAGGTGAGTACATAATTAAGTTATTAGCAGAAAAGCAATTTAATAGTTCCCGGCAAATTGCTAAATTGAATCAGAATTTTCCGATTCATCTATAATTTATATAAAGGCTGTGCTGTTTTTCCCCTTCAGCCAACAAAAAAGGAGAATAATTCATTACGCGAATTTAATCGGGGATAAAAACGGAATGGAAATGAATCAGATTCAGATCCGCAGCCAGTTTGTTGCACTTGAGGTGACGTTAACTGCACGAGACAGCCGCTTTGTCTGCTCAGTCCCGCCGACTATATAGTATATAGTTCATATGGTCACCGCTGCTTTACTTCCGATTTCCGATTTCCGATTTGCATGACAGGCGTGCCAGGCGCTCAGAGCTCCGAGCTGGCTACATTTGGAAATTACAGTTCATACAGTTTATCTTGAACTAGACAAATATTTCGTATTCACGAGTGCAACTGTGCAACTGTGCAACAGGCTCACGCGCATCGCATGTCAGCGCAAATTTTATTCCACACACACACCAGGTTTTGGCCCGGCTCAGGGGTTCTGGCCTTAGCCTTAGTCGGCTGGCTCGAAAAGTGCATGCCTGCCGGCTAATTGCAGTCTGATTATCGCTATCGTTATCGCTCGTGACATTGGCCAGCGGAAAACGCTGCTTTCCACCAGGAAAACTCGCACGCCACTGCCTGGTCAGATAATCGATTCGAATGGAAGTTTCCCAACGATCTGAAACAACCAGAATTGCCCTCTAAAAGAGAGCCAATTCCCATAAAACCGCTGATTAGCATAATGGCGACTCATGACATTTGTTAAGAATTTCCCAATTCCTCTGGTAGATTCCTAAAGAAATATTAAAAGTTCTTAACCCACCTTGACCTCTCTCGGCCACTGCCTATCTCTGCTATTCAGTCATTATAATGCAAATAAAGTCCCATTTAATTTTAGAAGTGATTCAGAAATTCGCCATTTAGTTGAAAAACCCAAAAGAAGACTCCTTAACCTGTCACTAGATAAGATCAGACTCAGTACGACGGAGTTAGAAAGACAGTCATTCGAAATGCACTTTGTTCTTCCACAAATGATCCACCGAAAAAAGTGATAACGAACGCCATAAATTATAGCTTTCAATTAACGGAATTGCTCCTCCCCGCCAGCAACTTGATTTCCACGCTTCCAATTAATAAATATTTATCTCTGGTTAATTGCTTGTCATGATCGTTGTTCGGCCGAATGTAATTTCCATTTACAAGCCCAACAATTGCTGCAGCATCGGCACGTTGGCACTCGGAGCTATCTAGCCAAAGCCAAAGCCACAGCCAAAGCCAAGCCAAAGCTAATCACGTTTATTGCCACAGACTTGCATAAATTAATCGGGAAAAGTGGAGAAGCGGGCTGAGAACTTCCTGATCAGCCATTTACAGGCGATGATATAGTGTGTCCATTCGACGGGCTCTGATTCTGGGCCCCAGCACGCATTAGCGCGTGCTCAACTCTGTGTTTAGGTTTTGTTTATGTTTTACGTAACTCCGCGACTTCTAATTGGTATGTTGGGCGCGTTGGCCATAACTTGGCTCGCAGTCGCTGGCCAGTCGCCCCAAAAGCAGCTAAGGCGACACTCAACCGCCGGCTGACGTGTTCGTCTCTCCAATGTCAGGTTCTTTGTTCTGTTGCTCAGTTGCTTAGCTGATGTGTCGCCTCCTGATCCCTAACGCTTTCTAATAAATCTTGCGGGGCATGCAAATCGTGGAGACCACCGCTGGAGCAAGGAGGAAATCGTGATTTGCTAAATCTTCGCCAGATCAGATTGCACTTTCTCAGGGGCGACAATTAATAATCTGGTGGTGGGATAAGATCGGAGCAGGAAAACTGTAACCATTTCCAGTGAGTCACCAGTCTCCAGCCTCCAGTCCGCACATAATGTGCCTGTCAAGAGGTTAATTACTCGTTCCAATGAGCGAAATTGAAATGAGCTCAGGCATTCGGCATTCGTCATCGCTGTGGGCGAAGAAAAAACGGAACGCCTCGAAGTCAGAGCCATAACCGGAGCCACAAAAGCCCGTAAAAACTTTCCTGGTCTAAATATAGCTAATCAAAGCCAGAACTAAGTTGGCTCGCAGTTCGCAGTTTCCCGCCTCAGGCCCCAAGTACTCCGGCCCAGCCAATCAATAGGCGGTGGAATTTGTGTGCCGTTCGTCAAGTTTGATTGATTTGCCTATGAAAAAGTTGCGTGCGACCTTCGCGAGGTGCCAAAAGCACAAACAAACAAGCAAACAAAGGCTGCAACAGCCTTGCCACTTGGCAAGCAAATGATAGTTTTTGCCGCTGCTAGCCAACATCCTTTCTCCTTTTCAGACTTCCCTAAGGTCACCCATAGCTTGGCACTTCACGCGTCTTGCCATAAACAACCCGGTAAGCGCCTAAAAAGGCTTGGGAATGGCAGCGGCTGGAAAATCCTTTTTTGCCTGACTTTTGCATGAATAGCGCTTTTTATTGTCCGGTTATCTTAGCATCTTGACGCTTATTTATCGCTACGTGAATTAGCCACTTGGGCGAAATGCGGCAAAAACAGACACCTTTGGGCGGTGTGTGGAAATGTCAAATATTTTGTGGGAGTTTCCCCTGCCGGCCAGCCAAGTAAATGTCAAGGAATTTGTCTGAGCTGAGTTATGGAGTTTCGAATGTCCATTTCGGTATTTAAAGTCTTAAAGTCCTTCCTATACTAAGGCCTTTATGCACAAAACGTCGCTCTATAACCCAATTTGGACGGCAAAACAAGCTCGAAATTCTTTCAATTTAATCCTCTCTCTCTGGTCCTGAATTGAATTGAAAACGTTATACAATTTTAAGCTGCATTTAAGACTGCCGTTGGCCCAGTTTCTGTTTTAGTTTTGCCTCGCTTCGGTTTGGCGTTCGTTATAGTTTTGAGCTTTCCTTTTCAATCTGCCCAATCTGCCGGGCTAGTTATAGAAACCGAAAAGAAATGCCGCCAAATGAGGCGCCTGCGCTTCGATTTGCGGCCGAGGTGGGAGGGGTAATGATGTAATCGCCGCGTTAAACAGCATTTAAACAAGTTAAGCCTGTTTGCTAGTTGGCAGCGCGATTGGACAACGCAAATTGCATGCGCGGTTGCGGTGGGAAAATGGCAGGGAATCGCAGGGAAACGCAGGGAAAACCTCCGCTATTTGCCTTTAATTGTCGCAGACACTTTCGCTTATGCACGTGCCACGCAAATATTTGTGCAACTAGGTCTAGGTTTGTTTGCAGGCAATTTGCAGGGGCATTTGGAAATGGGTGAGCTGGAGAGTCTTTCCATAGCCCCTCGGCAGCGGGCGAGAGTCAACGACCTGGCTGACCCACATTCCGAGCGTAAACTAACCAAACCCACGCACCCCGAAAAACCGAGGAAACGTATACCCACGAGTTTTCCTCTTCCCCGCCCTCGCTAGGCAATAATTTTCCCATCAATTTCAACCTGGCACGTCGGCGAATATACGAGTATACGAAAAGTATACACAAAACGATACTTGTTTATAATTTATGCATGTCCTGTTCTTGTTTCTGCCGGAAATAAACGAGGCGGAGTGCGCCTTCAATTTAAATGGGTGAAAGTTCATTGACTCCAAGGAGCAGCTCTCCCCCTTTCTGCTGTTCCGCCCAGCTGCCAGTCCAGTTCCCCCTTCGAAATCAAATCAAGTCCGCAACTTTGCAACTTTGCACCTGTGCAAATTGTGTTAAATATTTGAAGGTTGCATTGCGATTGTAGCATACTTTCCCGGGCACACACACACACACTCCTGCCTTCTAGCCAAGTTGAGTTCCAAGTTGGCTTTGGCTTGCAAGCCCCGCGGACCATTCCCTGCAAGTTCAACTCCTCCGGCTAAGTAAACCAGGCAAGCAGGTCAACCAACTGAATAGATATTTCCCCTACAAACTGCTAGTTACCGAGTAAAACTACACAACAAGAATGGAAAGTTTTCTTTTAGAAATGGATCTTGGCATTTATGCTTCTGTTTAATTCCAGTTCAGATGAGCTAATGATCAGAATTACAGCTCAAGATGTCTAAGAAGACAATCGACCTGCTTTAATCCGAAAATCACTCGTTTTTTCCGGTGTACCTTCGCAATGCAGGGAAATAACTAGAGTGCTGGGGCGTGGCGAAAGCCATCCTTTGTTGACATTTTTGCTTTGATTGTCCGCCAAACAGAAAAGCGCAAAAAATTTGTGTCAATGTCCAATAATAAATTGAAGTGCAATTTCAACGCCCTCTGAAACGTGACCCGACTGCAGTGGCCCTCACCCCTCGGGGCAGTGAGTGGAGCTTCCAATGATTTGCATGGCCACTGAGCATCTGTCCGTCCCGATCCCCCCGAGAATCGGTAATCACATGCAAATGCCTGTATATCTCAATCGATGCGGATGCATTCATCCATCTGCTGGAATCGTGTCGATGGAACAGGTGTAGCCCATCACAGACCTATGACTCCCGAAAAGTGTACAAAAAAATCGTTAAATTAGTGGCCAAACGTTTCCGTTTTGGTCCGACTTCCGTTCACCTTGTGACGCATTAAATTCTGAATGGAAAAATGCGTCAGAAATGACTCAATTACGGACAGGTTGAGTGGTCTTTTGTTTGCTGCCAAAGGGAGTTATCTTATCGATAGCAGATAAGCGAAAGAGCCCATGTTTGAGGCCCGAACAATGCATTCGATTGCTGTCAGCTTGTTTGTTCTATGACAAAAGCTGCATTACAATCCCGAGAAACTGGCATAACACCTTTTCAGCGATTTCTGGGTAATCAAGAGGTTCGTGCCGCCCGCGGGGGAGTCACCTCCCATCTGGCCGCCTGTTCGGCATTGTGCACTGCAAGTAATTATGTTAATTGCATAAAGAGGCATTGCTAAGGTCGCGGGTGAGTCAGCCCGGTCGACTGTCAGATGCTTCTGAATCTGTCTCCGAATCTGACTTTCTGACTTTCGAGTGGATCTCTTAAGAGATGAGCGACAGGTACCTTCCACTTGAACCCCGCTTTGTTTACAGTTCGTTTACCTTTAAGCTGGCCCAGCTGATCGCTGGTTAGCTGGCAAAAACGAAAACTGGTGGCCAACCCACCCAGAAAAAGATCACAGAGCCACTGGCGAAAAGCAGAAGACGCAGAAAACGCGACGGGAATACTCAAGAGAGCAGCGAAATGTTTACTTCCTCGCAGGCGGAAAGAACACAATAAAATTAACAGTCAGCTGGCATTATGCAAGATTCGGCAAATCATTATACAACATGTACTATATGTGCGAGCGGCGGCGTCATTAAGAATGTGCGACACATAAACGGCAGCCGAACCTGATCCACATGCCAAATCGAATCGAATTGCCAAAACGTTAAGCGCATAAAACTCTAGCCGCGCTGTAAGACGATTTGCCGTTGTAATTGGCCGGACAATGAAACCGTATAGTAAGCTAGTTAGTCGGTGAGCACTTAACTGTTAAGATAACCTCGCATTGTTCTCCACTCGCAGTGCACTTCCCTGATGGGCAAACTGTTTTCATTCGATTTCTCAATGTTACAATTTACAATTTACAATTTACAATTCACAATTAGCAATTGAAACGCTTCCTTAATGTTGGCAATGTTCGATCATCGATTAAGAGTTTTCACACCTCTGCCAGTCACGTCTCTATCGCCATATATATATATATATATATACATATATATGTATAAGTATATATGGATATGCGATTCATCCACATTAAGCATACGCCATGGGGCCCCTTCTCCCTAATGGTTTATTTATATAAATTATAAGCCAGTGTGGCAGTCATAAATTATGCAAGTCAGATAGAAAGGCGACAGAGTGAGAAGGAGAAGGAGCCAGGACATGCCGTTGCCGGCTAATCTGATGGCCATAAATCAAGTTGGCCACAACGGGTGGCCCTCGGGCGCATCAGGCGCAGCCCATTGATCTTCGCCAACTGTCTCTGCAGTCACTCAACCGCCCTTTTCCTCTTCCCGCCACCAGATCTACCTGTCCCAGTTCGGCTACCTACCCGCCTCAGCCCGCAATCCTGCCAGCAGTGGTCTGCACGACCAGCAGACATGGGTCAGTGCCATCGAGGAGTTCCAGAGCTTCGCTGGACTGAACGTCACCGGCGAGCTGGATTCGGAGACCATGAAACTGATGTCTCTGCCACGATGCGGAGTTCGGGATCGCGTTGGCACCGGCGACAGTCGCTCCAAGCGGTACGCCCTGCAGGGTAGCCGCTGGCGCGTTAAGAATCTCACCTACAAGATCTCCAAGTACCCCAAGCGGCTGAAGCGAGTTGATGTCGACGCTGAAATCGGTCGCGCATTCGCCGTGTGGTCCGAGGATACCGATCTGACCTTCACCAGGAAGACCTCAGGACCCGTGCACATCGAGATCAAGTGAGTTATTTGTAGTTTATAAGTAAATTCCTTTACGACAAGCATATATGGGAGTTTCTAAGATATGTACTAGAAGTGTCTTCGATTTCTAAAATTAATCATCGAAATCCGTTTTCCCAGGTTCGTGGAGAGCGAGCATGGAGATGGCGATGCCTTCGATGGTCAAGGCGGCACCCTAGCTCATGCCTTCTTCCCCGTTTTTGGAGGAGATGCTCACTTTGATGATGCGGAACTGTGGACCATTGGCTCGCCGCGTGGTACCAATCTCTTCCAGGTAGCGGCCCATGAATTCGGCCATTCCTTGGGACTGTCCCACTCCGATCAGAGCTCAGCCCTGATGGCGCCCTTCTACCGCGGCTTTGAACCCGTTTTCAAGCTCGACGAGGACGACAAGGCTGCCATCCAGTCGCTGTACGGCAGGAAGACGAACCAACTGAGACCCACCAACAACTACCCGCCCACCACTCAGCGACCATTCACCCCTCCCAAGGTGCCCCTGGACGACTCAATTTGCAAGGACTCCAAGGTGGACACTCTCTTCAACTCTGCACAGGGCGAGACTTACGCCTTCAAGGGCGACAAGTACTACAAGCTGACCACGGACTCCGTGGAGGAGGGCTACCCACAGCTCATCTCAAAGGGCTGGCCAGGACTTCCGGGCAACATAGATGCTGCGTTCACCTACAAGAACGGCAAGACGTACTTCTTCAAGGGAACTCAGTACTGGCGCTACCAGGGTCGCCAGATGGACGGCGTTTACCCGAAGGAGATCAGCGAGGGCTTCACCGGCATCCCCGATCACTTGGACGCAGCGATGGTCTGGGGAGGCAACGGCAAGATCTACTTCTTCAAGGGCAGCAAGTTCTGGCGGTTCGACCCGGCCAAGAGGCCACCGGTCAAGGCCAGCTATCCCAAGCCGATTTCCAACTGGGAGGGCGTTCCCAATAACCTGGATGCTGCTCTGAAGTACACCAACGGCTACACGTACTTCTTCAAGGGCGACAAGTACTACCGATTCCACGACGCCCGATTTGCTGTAAGTCCCAGTCGGAATGCCAGCAATGAAGATTGCATAGTTAACACTTTTTTTATTCCCAGGTTGATACGGCCTCGCCTCCATTCCCCAGACCCACCGCCCACTGGTGGTTCGGCTGCAAGAACACGCCCTCGTCCACAGGTAATATCGTTGAGGGTTCGGACAACGAGTTCGAACAGCACTCCATGATCCCGCATGCCGACGACGGTAATGGTGACGACTTTGACGCAGGTGAGTGGGACCGACTCGGCGGTAGTTTTGTTTGAGCTCGAATCGATCTACTGGATTCACGACCACGAATATCGAATCCCGAACTCAGAAAAGTCAAAAAGATCTCATAGAAAGAAGTCTTGTATGAGTTGTTACTTAGCGAGAAGCAGTTACGAGTCATGAAATGATAATAATAATAAATCCTATCTATATGGTATGTTTAATTAAGTTAATGTCTATGTAGTGAAATTCTATTACTCAAGTCGAATGTGTTTGTCTTTGTTGCCTACGGAAGAAATACATTTATAATTCTTATTGAAAAACTAATTACCAACCTGTGTATGTCCAATGTCTTTGCCAGTCTATAAATATCTTGTACTTATACATCTTGTACAGTTATTAATTATTAATTTCTCTTTATCCTGATTTTGTGGTGTTTTACTTTAGTTTTGTTTAGCTGTCTTCATGCCGAGTCCTGCTTGGCTGAAGGCACTTCTCTTTAGAGTATAGTACTTACCTAACACCTTCAGACAAACTAACTAAATCCTAGTCTTAAACTGTACTAATAACTAAAGTTAAGCCAGCAGTGCTAATACTAAAACTAACCCTATCAACTTTTCCACTACTAATAACTGCGTGTTCTTTCCATTAACTGAACTAACCCGTCTGCGTTTATGCCATTTCTTTCGGTTATTTCGGTTCTTGACTCTGTTAAACTAACCAACCTAATTTAGCATACCATGTACAAAGAAGTTCAAAGCCTAAGAGACAACTATGAAAAACAAATAACTCATATCTTGCTTACAGTTTAATAGCCGAGAGTTTAATAAAGCAATTATCTGCAGCAGCGACAACAGCAACAAAAACTACTGGTCAGTCGGTCTCACTAACTGAGGTCCAAGATCAACTCCACCAAAACCATTCTCCTAGCCTAAGTCACGACCCAAGCATGCGCACTGACTAACCAGCTAATCTGTAGAACTTACCCAAGCCAAATAGTTACTAACTAGCTAACCCCAAGAAAAGCAACACTATCTGTCAAACACCACAAGTCCCAGAAGTGGAAACCCCGAAAGAAAACCACTACACCCCCTATGGCCTAAGTTTCCTAGCTATGTAGCACTAAGTATTTACCTAGATATCGTACTATTAATATCTGATCTTTCCCCACCCTGAACTAAACTCTTTACCCTGTAGTCAGAAATCGCAGAACTCGAACCACGATTATGCGTAACCGTTTCCTTCTTTTGGCACCCTCGGCACAAAATTCCAAATGGCTAAGTGGCTGGGTTGAGCCACACGTAAACACCACCCGCTCACCCCCCCAACACACCCAAAGTTACACTCACACACACCTGAACACCCTCCCCACACACTAATTGCATGAACAAAGCGAAACCGTACTAATCTAGAGCAATCAAAAGATTTACACCTGCATGGGAAGGAAAGTCGGCGGGTATATAGTGCTCTTTATGTGGTCCACACATCCCGTTATGACCCACAATCGGATATCTGTATGACACTCGATTAACAATCGCATGCACGTGCCTGGCCCATAATCGTTTAATTTGCATTCAACAAGAGCCGAACTCGAGCCCGAAATGTATTCGTCATTGTCATCTGTATTGTCTGTATGTATGTATATTTCTTGCAGGCTTTAAGAGACGCGGATACAAAAACAAGAACAATTAACCACAGCACACATCCAGAACCTCCACAACAACAACCACAGCCGAACCAAAACGAACACGAACTCCATTACCCACCATTACCCACATACAGACACATCGCGCAGAAGAATTACAAAGCGAAGTGCCGCCCCTTGAAGGCATATGTAGTATATAGCATATATGCGACATATATCATATAGCATATAGCATATATCATGTAGCATATAGCATATAGCATATAGCATATAGCACATATCACATAGCATATAGCGAATAGAGCTTCTTCTGACTGCTACTGCCTCTCCTTTCCTCCTCTGCCTTTGGTTGCGTACTCTGTGTTTGTAGTCGTAGTCGCCACGCTGATTCTTCCTGCTCCACGGTATCATCATCCCGTTTGTAGACTGCCACCCACGTATTTGATTGAGCACATCCCGCCCTCCCCAAACGCAATCTTGATACATCCAACATCCCGAAGAATTGTTTTATTTATGCTTTCTATTCTCCACCTTTGTTTCTTTAAAACAAAAACCTTTTTATTTGCGGTCCCCATATACGCTCCTGATATACCGATATACCATAAACAGCTCCGCAAGTGCCGAGCCCGAATCAAGGTATTCTGCCCGGCTGGATGTGGGGCCTAACGAACAGATTCTTCTAGTCTAGAGGATCTCGTGCTCAGCCGTGTGTTGTAGCCAGTCCCGTTGTAATTTGCCAGCATTAGTGTTTATCCGTCGCCCGCTTGAGTGATCTCTGTCTGAATAAAATAAACCATCAAATCGAACCATACTCGTATATCAAAACATGCCACGCCCAAGACCTGCGCCGCCTGCCGAACCGCCAAGCCAAGCCAAGCCAAATAGAATGAAACGAGTTTACAGAGTGAAGAGTATGTTACATTATTATTATTGTTTGATCCCCCTTAAGTTACTTAAGTTATGTTTAAGTTAATACTTTTATATTCCGTTCTCCCGAGCTTTTTACGAACAAACTCCTAGCAATCGCCCCAAAAAAAAACTTACTTATTAGCTTAGATCCAAGATTATCCGGCACAGCGCATCCCTTTCTTGAATAGCTTAATATTTACCGTAACTAACTTGACTTTTGAAATCCCCTATCCGATAGCCGTGGGCGATCACCAGTCCAACGACGAACCGATCGTACCGGAAGTGGCGGAGCGAACAGGAAATGGAGCCATGTCGCAATCGAAACTGACGACCAACTCCGCCGTAAGCACTGTGATCACCACCATCCTTATGTGCCTCGTCTCCAAATTCATCGTTAGCTAAAAGAGCATCAGATCCCGGCGAGCTGTGACCTGCAGGCAGTGCATTTTGTGAACCACAGAAACAAAGCTAGCAACCCGAGTAAAGTTTCCAAAACTTTACCGCCGTTGGAGACAGAAAGTGCTTGAAATTCAAATGCGTAACATCATATCGAATACGATGAGAGGAAATCCAAATAAAACTTATGAAAATTGAATACAAATTGAAATCGAACAGAATGTCAATTGAAAATTGAGCGATCAGCATGTGAAACAGGTGCCTTATCAAATACTTTTGTTGTTGTGTAAATAAAATCAGCCTTAAATATAATGAAATAGTTTATAACATTCCGCATTCTAACGACAAACCGACCGATCAGAGTCATATCATAGCAGAAGTTCTTTATGTAGTCAACTGTTTTGGTAATGACAAATTGCGATATTAAATTTAACGAGCCATACGCGAAGAATTGGAGAGAACCAAACAAAAATTGAACAGAAACAGAAACACTGAACATTTAACGTACTTTAGTTTAGATTTAATTGTTAATGTGTGCACATGGGACATGGACTTCCGAAAGTTCCTACAGCTGTGCAACAACTTCGCGACTTGACTTGACCATATATAAACTAATATGAAAATCATCATCGAGTACATATGATTATTATATAAGTGATATTTAAGAGTCCCTTAAGCGATATTTGTTCGGGTTTAATATTTAAAACCGAAATATTATTTAACTTACGTATTATTATGTGTAATTTTATTTTATATACCATGAATGTACGCTGAAATGAGAAACTGAACAAAAACTAAGTAAAAAGAAATAAACATAAATCCAATAAAAAGTAAACTAAATTATTATTGTTTGTCGCCTACGACGAGTAATTTGGTAGGCTTTAGCATGACAACCTAAGGATCAGGATCGCACTCCAGCTGGGCGTACAGCTCCTCAAGACGGTCATCCTTCTCCGGGGAGACCCTTAAGGACTCGTACTTGTTAGCGGTCTGCTTGGCGTCACTCTTGCGTTGTCTGAAGGGACCTGAAAGCAGTCGCCCGAAACAGTTTGCTGAGTAAGATACGAGGGGTAATGTGAGGCTTAGAAAACTATTGGAATATTCAAATACTTTTGGGCTTCTTCCGGTTGTCATCTACAGATGAAGCGGTCGGCTTGCTAGCCGGTACGGGGTTGGGGTTACTACTCTCGGGGATTCCCAAGTAATCACGCTCCGTCTTGATATCGCGCATAAGATGTACCGTATTGGATCCTAGCATACAAGCTGATGGATTCACGCACGGCTCTATTTTCGGCGTTAGATCAGGTATAAATGAATCTTGAACGGGAAGAGAGCAATTTGTAAGGGCGAAATTGAGAAAAGGTAGCAGATACACTCACCTCCCAAGCTGTCCTGTCTGATTTGCAAGTTCTTTATGATTGCACCGTACTCGGCCATTTGTCGCTTAAGCTTCTGAATCTCCCTCTCCTGCTCGTTCATCTTATTCTTTCGTTTACGTCTACCCTTCACATTGCCACTGGAATCCGAGCAGTTGTCGCTGTCGCTGATGATGATAGACTCAACAGGAGGGGGAGATATGACCTTGCAGTCGGCGTTGTCGTCGTCGCCACTTGGTGATGGGATTGCCTGAAAAGAGCTGGTGCACTGCACTGTTGGCAGGCCGGCACGCTTTCGAAGTCGCCGGTAGCGGACCGTTAGCGTACGGTTGTTGAGCGGAGAGTCTACTAGCTCCTTAAATGCTTCCATAGTTTGCTCAGGAGTGGCGTAGCGAACAAAAGCATAGCGAGCGCGTTTTTCGCGCTTCAGCACCCCGATGTCCACCCGCATGGCTTTGGCGAAGTAGGCTTTGATGGCCGATGTGGTCATGTTGAAGGGTATGTTGCTTACGTACAGTGAGCACGGATCAATAAACTCTGCCTGCTCCTCGTCGGAAAAGGGCTTGACCTCCGCCTTCAGGTACCCGCTACCGAAGCGCACCTTATTGATGTCAGCTATGGTGGCCTCTACATCGGCACCGGCCCTCAAGTGCACTAGACAGTATCGAGGAGCCACACTGATGGGCAGAACAACGTCCCGAATCTCCTTCGACAGCCCGGCTAGCATGGGTGCAGTGATCTCGGGGTCTGGGAAGCGTATGAGCAGAACCACCGTTGTGGTTTCTTGTCCCGGCTTGGTGGTCAACTCGCGTTCAAGAGCGAGAGCCTTTAAAGTGTGCTCGCGTCGCAGTTTGGCCAGCTCCCTACGGGACATTTTGGCATGGTCAGCTAAAGATGTTGGCAATTAATGATAATTTGGTTTGGGTATTTAAAAGGAGATCAATATATGACAACTCACGTTTTTTTTCACTGGTGCTTTTCTCCAACTCGACATCGTTATCGGAAGCTGGTCCATCGGGGGCAGAGTTCCATGGCACCAATTGGCTGCCAGCGGGAGTTGTCTCGAACAAGAATGTCTCCAGGGAGGGAGTGCATCCGTTCCCCGTGTAGGGAGGCACATGTTTGTCAAGAGCGAGCTGAGTTCCGTCGCCTGCCGGCGTCCCCTGGGGCTGGTTCTGATCCTCGGAGCCACCCTTTCGTTTTGCATCTGGACCGTCGCCGGTTTCAAGAGCCGCGCGTTTCGAATCCATTTGGAAAATATCAAAAATATAAATAGCACCCGGCCTATATAACGTGTTCCTAGCTAAAATTGTGTAAATTGAAAAACACTGTTTTCTAGCTATGTGGAAAAACCTATATTCACTAGCCGTGTTCTTGGCTAAGCCTGGAAATAAACTGACAAAAACGGCCCGAGCGTCCGACTCCTAATAAACAGCTGACAAACAGCTGACTTGGATTCGAAATTTCGCCGTTTGAGGAATACCCTATTCGGTCATATATCCCGTCCAAAAAACCGCCTCTCTTTGTCGTTCAGAAGAGATAAAATAATGTTGACTTTTAAATTATTATAATTGTTTTAAACTTTATTTGGTAGTCTAACGATTTACTTAAATTTATTGTTTACATTTTATTTTTTTCCAAAAAAATATGTTACAACTACAATTTACAACTACAACGGCAGCGCTCAGCTGATTTCGTTGCCAGACCGCTTTTTAATAACATAACAGAAATTACCAAAACATAAAATGGTTGCGGCCCTCTTAAGAAGTATTAAATTAGTTTATTTGAAGCCAATAACGGTTCAGGGTCTGCAGTAAGTCCGCAATTAACTATTTCTACAGGAATTACCTTAAAAACTCTCCCCATTCATTCAGCACAAGTAGCCTGCTCTGCAAGTGGCGCAATGTGGCCTCCGGCGAGGTGGAAAGAAAGCTCCTTTCCGGCGACAGGCTCCCGGATAACTATAAACTGATATACCGCGCCCCTATTGAAAACTACGTGACGTGGACCAAAAATATATCTACTGCAACTACATCGATTCTGGGCCTGGTCGCCGGCTATCATTGGGCAACGACCATGAATTTTTTGAATATGGTTCAGAAAATGGACATAGCCATACTGGTGTCTCAGGAATCCGATCTGTACTACTTTCTCACGGGATTTGTACTTATAAACGTGGCGATACGGGCATTTGTAGCGAAATATCCCTTGAGAATTTACAAAAGTTCGGAAAAGTAAGTTGAGAAAAGATGTATTTTAATTCCTATTCCTCAAGCAATTGTGTTTAAGATATGTTGCTGTCTATGGTTCCCAATTACCCTTGGGAACTGTCAAACACTACTTTGAAAGGGGGCAAATAGCTGAATACAAAAATGTTTTAAATCCATGGAGCCATATCATGTACAAACTGGGCAACCGTTCCTCCATGCTGCTGGTGGACTACTTTAAGACCCCATCGGAGTTTCACCAGCTATTCGCGACGGAAAAAGAGACATAGAGTGTTATTTGATTTTGTAAATTATTAAAATAAATGTTACATATTTTCAATTTATCTGAACTTCTTGTAATTAACTGAGGTTGCCAGACAGCAAAGGAACGCTTCCAATTGGAAAATTAGACAACCGGTGCACTGCTTACCGGGACACATGTCGAAGGGCACTGCTTACACATTCAAACGCCGCGCTTAACTAATACATGTTTTATACGCTGAATTTTTCCGAAATATGCAACACTTTTAAAGAAGACCGAAACGTTGAGCCTATATCAAGAATTGGGAATAATTCGAGGAGGTTTTATTTTTAATCCGCTTCTTAATAAACCATATCAGGGATGCAGCTCTATTTGGGGTATTCACGAGATCAGCTGTTATGTAGCATATGCGTGGGGTGGGGGGTTTCTGTAGTTTGTTGTCCATCTCGGCCACGTGCAGCATGGAACTAAAAAAAATGAAGCCTCTAAAAGATGATACTGCCGAATCCCCGCCAGATTCAGCGACTCGGAAGCGCCGCAACCCGTTCAACACTCAGCGCCTAAAGGAAGAGAAGGAACGCCGGCAGAAAAAGAGGGCCCGACTCATTGTACGCAACATCAGCTACAAGTCCACCGATGAGTCGATGCGGGAGTATTTTGGGCAGTGGGGAACACTAGAGGATGTGCAAATCCTGAAACGTGGGGACGGAAAGCTAGTAGGCTGCGCCTTCGTGCAATACGAGACCATTAATCAGGCCACCAAGGCGATTCTTCACTCCAACGGAAAGGAGCTGCTGGGACGGAAAGTTTTTGTGGATTGGGCTCTGGGCAAGGATGAATACACGGCCAAGAACCCCAAGGAGGAGGAGCCGGAGGAAAAGAAGCCAAAAGTGGAGGCAAAGGAACAAAACGGGAACGAGGCGGAAGTCAAGGAAGAAAGCGACGAAGATTCTAAAGAGGAAGAGGTCGACTCTGGGGAAGACTCTGATGGCGAATCGGATGAAGATGACGCGAGTAACGACGAACCTGAAGAGGAAGATGAAGATCGAAAAGAAGATAAAGACGAATTGAAATCAAAACTAAATATCGAAAATGTCAAAAAGCAAAAGCAAATCTCCAACGACGTCCAGCAAGGGTGCACGGTTTTCATCAAAAACGTTCCTTTCGATGCCGAGGATGTGGATCTACGAAAGGTGTGCCGCAAGTTTGGCCTGGTCAACTATGCCATAATCAATCGCCAGGCGGTTTCTGGACACTCAAAAGGAACAGCTTTTGTTAAATTCAAGGCAAAGGAGTCAGCCGATCTCTGCCTGCAAGCTGGCACAGAGTTCAAGCTAAATGATGAAGTCCTGGATCCTCACCCCGCTCTAAGCCGAGAAGAAATGAAGTCAAAGCAGTCGCAGGATAACAAAAAAGACGACGCAAAGGACTCTCGAAACCTTTATTTGGCCAGAGAAGGTCTTATCATGTCTGGAGCTAAGGCAGCTGATGGAGTTTCTGCTTCAGATATGGCTAAGCGCCATGAACTGGAACAGGTAAAGACGCAGGTGCTCAAAAACTTAAACCGGTAAGATTGAATGCCATCATAATGGGTTTATTTTAATTCTATTTATTTAACTTCCAGCTTTGTTTCCCGCAATCGGTTGTCCATCCACAATCTGCCCCAGAACTACGACAACGAAAAGCTGAAACAAATGGCTCAGACCTACACTGGTTTCCGGCCCCATGAATGCCGTGTTATGAGGGAACACAAGGTTACTCCTGAGCATCCACAAGGCAAGTCCAAGGGTTTTGGCTTCCTCTCCTTTGACACGCATCAGAGGGCTTTGACGGCGCTTCGGAAACTGAACAACAATCCCAGTATCTTTGGAGCCCAGAGTGTAAGGATTTTAAAACAGTTGATATGAATATATTTTAAAGTTTGTAACTATTTCTTAGCGCCCCATCGTCGCATTTAGTATAGAGGATCGAGCTGTGCATAAAATTAAGGAGAAGCGCGAAGAGCGCTCCAAGCAGAACAATCCCACCTTCCAGAACAAACAGCAGCAGCGTAAGGAGCGGCGCCAGGAAAAGCGTAACGGTCAGAAGGCCAAACCACCGGTTCCCCAGACAGACAACAAAGCCAAGCTGCAGAAACACATCAAGAAATTGGAGGCTTCTCGAGCGGCCAAAGTTGAGGGTAAAGCCGCAGAGAAAAAGCAACTTAGCGATGTGCAGAGCGACTATGTGGGCACGGCAGCCAAGCCGGGCACCTCACTAAAGATGCGCTCCAAAAAGAAGATTATAGAACAGGCCAAGGAGCACATGAAGAAGGTGAAGACCGAGAAACGCAAGAAGAAAAACAAGAAGATACGGGAATCCCATCTGGCAGAGCGCAAGGCGAACAATCGACCCAAGCAGGGACGAAAGAAGGAAACGGATGACCTGCGGCCCCTAATTAATAAGTACAAGAACATGATAAGTGGAAATCAAGGCGGCGGCGGTGTCACGGGAGGTAAAATTAAGAAACCTAAGCGTACCAAGTGGTACACGGAGTAAAGTTTCCTTGTGTAGATTAAGAAATGTCGCCTAAGCAATAAAACTGTAAATGAAGAACCAATCCGCGTATCTGTCAGGTAAATTGGGACTTTTCCTAGGATTACAGTATGAACATCTGCTTGAACTATTGATCTACCTGCCAAGTCTGGTATATATAGTGGGTGGAGTGGATGAATCTCTTCAGTATTGCCTAGCAGTGCCTGTGAAGCGTTTCGTCCGCACTAAACAGAAGATATCTCCAAGATGGCTCCCCGAGAGAAAGTTGAGTTTGTTCTAGTTCGCCTGGCCTATGTGCCGTACATGTAAGCATTATATAGATCTTCCAATCTTCAGAAACTTATTTTAAATTCCTGCCGCAGTCATCCTTTGTACCCACGTATCAGCTACCAGATCAGAAAACATCCTCCCACAGGATCGATTATCCAAGTGCGCGATTGGTTCGAACATGTGATGATGCGGGAGCGTTCTAAGCTTGCCCCGGATGTCAACATTCGGTACGCGGAGTGGCGCATCATTACTGGCGATGTTGAGCTGTTCCAGGTGCAGGGCTGTCGCTTCGACAAGATCATGCTGGTGCTGGGCGAAGAGAACATATCGTGGGTTTTCTACCAGAACATGCCCCTGCACCGTCGCATCGAAGGCAGCGCCTGCTTTCCCGTGAGCTATTGTGGATGCTGCCTAAACAACCAGTACCTAGATATTATGGCCAAGATCAAGCAAACTGTGTCGAGGAAGAAGATACGATGAAATAAATACATTGGAATACTAATGGAAACAAAAGTTTATGTTAATATGAACGCTTTCAAATTTCACTAGGCGCTAGCTATCTATTCCAGCCAGTGGAAGCGGGATCCGTACTTGGCTGGTGGCTTGGGGTAATCCTCGGGCAATCCAGGAGTGGCATCGGGATAGGAGATCTTCTCTTCCTTCTTGGGAGCTTCACGAGCCGACTTGATGACCTGAAAAGGCAACGGTTTAGACGTGACTTATACAAAACCTAGCAGACGCTGACCTTAGCACGGGAGAAGTAGCCGTAAGAGGGACGGTCCCAGTCAAAGTTATCCTTCATGCACTTGTCGAACACTCCCTGAGTCTTGCGGCAGCTAAAAAGGTTCGACATGGATCAGAATTCTTAATATCTTTAATTCTTTAAATCTCTTACTGGGAGAAAGCCATGGTTCCGCTGCTTTTGTCCAGGCAGGTGGCGTACTGCGTGAATTCCTCATGACAGGTCTTCTTCACTTTGCGGAAAAAGTCCAGGGCGCAGCTGGTCACAGCTTTGCCCTCCCCCAAACAAGCCCGCGGATCGTCCAGCTCCTGCCGGCACAGCATAAACTCCTGTAATTACACGAAAAACAAACGTAAACAAACTGAGGAAGGTGCTTTTTGAGGTTAGGTTATATAACTTGAGCGTTCGGATTTTGCCGCTTTTTCGGGCAACAGCTCCATATGAGGCTGCCTTTTAGTTCAGGATTACTCGGAGGAGTATTCTTCTAGAGTCTAGAGGTACTAACATTATTAGCCTGCTCGCATTGCTTGCCCAAATGGAAGGCACCCGCACGCAGGGCGGCCGATGACAGATTCAGCTCCTGGACATTGAGCTCCGACTCCTCTGGTAGTGTTGTGTTGGTTGTGATGACCATAATAGTGTTGTTGCCCTATGTGATCTGCCAAAAACCTGCAACGGTTTTTATTATAAATAAAAACTTCGATAATAGTAAAATTTCTTCTATGTAGTGTTTAAGTTACAGCGACAGCCTTAGATGCCGTGGGAATGTTTCGACGTCCTCGCGTACGTGAAGTTTACCAAGATAGCTATGTTTTTTCCTTAAGAGATTTTAGGCCAGCTTTTTAATGTTTGTTTTAAATAATTTTGTACACAAAAACAATTGTGTCGAAATCGTACCTTCTACCGTTCTATGTTGCCAGCAGATGCAAAAATCGGGTATTTCTTAAACAGCTGTTGTCTTTTCAGGGCTGCTACGACGTATCTGTCAGTCAGAGCTATCGATAGTTCAACCGCTTCACAGACAATCATCGATAGCAGGCTCTCAATTGAAGTTTTAAAAATCAAGGCTCCCAAAATGATTTCGTTAATTTTATACATATTTATATTTTTTACTGCTGCAGCAGAGCCCAATTTAAAAGTAGTTAAGTACAAGAACTCGGTTGACACCATCGTGAAGGACCTCATCGACAACTGGCAGTCGCCACTTGTTTACCTGAAAAGTCGCGGCTACCTGCCGAAAGATCTGCAGGATGCGCCGGAACTGGATTTTCAGCAGCTGCAGGAGAACTTAGTCCCGGAATTGTCGCTAATCGATTTAGTTGGATTAAACAAAGATTCTAAAAGGGAGATAGAAACTAAAAACAAAGTTTTTACCGATCAGCGGTCTGCCCGTTCTCCCCAAGGTCCCAAAGAAATGGACTTAAAAAGGATGTTTCACTCGCTGTTCTCCTCAAATGACAAGTCTGCATCCGAGGAGATTAAATCCAAACTGGGTGTATCATGGGATATGAATGCTTTAAAATCCTCTGCTCGATTGGGAGCCAAGAAATACCTCGAGAAGTTCAACAGCAAGCGAAATCAGGGGTTATCTCTTTTGACAAATGATGCTCCATCTGTGAGTTTCTCTACCCTACCCCATAACGTGGGAAAGAAAAGCAAAGAATCCGTGGAAAAGCCTGTCTACAATAAACCGAACTTCCTCAAAGGCGTGGCCAAGATTCTGGGCAATCCAGAGATCAGGTATAAGGATTGGGACTCAAAACCCGCCCTGGAAATGTTACCGAAAGCCACGGGCAAGGTGAATTGAGACGTAAAGTTGTTAATTAAATGTTCTTGTAGTTAAGAAATGGTTTAGCCAAAGCACAATTAATTAGTTGGGGGAGGGTAACCTGCTAATGCCAGAAGCAGACGCGATTGAGCCGCCGCAAATTTGATATTCATGGCTGTCTGGTTAATCTCTGTCATTAGCAGATGAGATTGAAACCCGTTTAGTGGGCCAGGCAGCTTTGGCGCAGTATAAAAGGCCGCTGGCCATTGTTTCATAACAAGTAGCTGCTCTAAAATGCTGAAATACGTGAGTTCAATGGATTGAGATCGAACTTTTGGATATATTAGTTATTAGGTATTTGTCTTCAGACCCTTATCCTTGCCCTGCTGGTGGTTTTGACCAGCTGCAATGAAGAGGACTTACAGGCGCAGCTTGTCAAGTCTGAGAACCTCCAAAATCTGGATGGAGCTGGGCAGTTCAAGCACGAAACCGTGGTGACCAACGGCATCCAGATTAAGGCCCAGGGAAATGTGAACGGCATACAGGGCGAATACTTTCTGCCCGGTGAGGATGGCAAGCAAATCCGCGTGACGTACACTGCAGATGCAACCGGCTTTCATCCGAAGGTCGAGGAGTGATCGCGTGATCTTAATTATGATTCAATTTACGTTGTTATAATCCATGTGTTAAAAGGAGTGATGTTGCTGCAATAAAACGTTTTTGTTCGCATATTTTATGGCTTCACGACCAGATCAGGGCACAATTACTCTAAGGAAGTAATACCTATACCAACGATGACACGTAAACATCCAGCGCCGATTTGCTAAATCTGTCATATGCATCAATGCTAATCGGCAGAGGGAGCACTCTCACCATTGCAACCGCTTCCTCTTCATAAGGTGCATCCCCATTCCACATGGCCATCACTGAGCCCTTGAATGGGTCGTATGGCCAGTGCGACATTGGTTTCCTGCGGTCCCTCCCCGTTGTACAAATAAAAGGTTACGACGCAACACTCAGCTTTATAATCAATGGAGGGTGGCGGCTGTACATAAAATACGCATTGTCATCCGCATAATAAGGACCCCGGCGGAAATGGGCCAGTGGGCTGGGGAACTCCCGGAAGGGAAGTCATTCGAGGCTATTGTTAAATGGCAAATTCAAATATTGAGTCGCCCATTGTGCAGGGCCATTGGAATATGTTACGGAAATGACAACTTAAATGGGCGCTGCTCCCATTTGGCCCATTTCCCGCTTTCCCTCGCTATCCACTCATCCTTGAAAAACGCTTTTATGCATGATGGTTATATAAATGCAATTGGCATCATCACATACAGACATAGAGAGGGGTTCCCTCACAACTTGGCACTACCCACTTGCACTCCGTTCCCATTGCGCGTAAGTTCCATGTCCATCGAGGGCTGGTTCACTAGTTTTCGGACCACATCAAACTTGGGGTTGTTCTTATCCCGAACCAAGTCGAAAATAACGCTCTCGCTGGTGGTGATCACACAGCCTGCTTGGCGCAATCGGTCCAACGCCAAATCCCGATCCTGATTTAGCCTGGAGGAGCAGCAGTCCGCGACTATGTACACGTTGATGTTCTGCTCCAGGAGATCAATGGCTGTTTGCTCTACGCAAATGTGAGACTAAGGAGAGGAGACGTTGAATTAGTACAAATTTTACTCAAATATGTTTTTAAATGTGTAATATTTTTAAATATTCAGGCAATCTGATATTCAAAATTTGAAGATGAAAATGTTAATTTATTCGTAGGTATAAAACTTAAGAAGCACTCTAACCCACCTCAAGACCATACAACACCACATCCTCGGGCTTGTCACTGAAAATATCCTTGATCACAGCCTTGACTTCCGGAGTGACCATGCTAAAGAGGGTTTTCCCAGAGACCAGCTTCGCATGGCTCACATCAAGTTGGGCCACGGTCTTTCCAAGTTTTTCTGGATAGTGTTCGGTGACAATCAGGGGAACATCTAATGCCTTTCCCGCCTTGGTCTGAAATTGAGTTGGGGTTAATCTTAGTGGCTATAGATAAGGGATCAATATCAAAATCAAAGTTCAACTCACAAGTTTGTCGACGTTCTTGACCATGTTGTCGAACAGCGGCATAGCCGGTCGGAATTTTTCTTGAATGTCACATAGCAGGAATAGCGTTTTCTTTGGGTTCAAGTGACAGCGTCGCAGGGCCATTTTGTTGTATATTTACAAATTTTAATTTTCTAAAGAAACAATTTTCACCTGCTAATTAACCGGTTGTAACAGCTGTTTGTAACCAGGGGTGAAAAAGAAGCAAAACGGTTCTGCGATCGGTTCCATGCTATCGGCGGAAGTTCTATCGATTAAAACAAACCCGGTTTACCTTTTTGTGTCCGTTATTTTTGATATCTTAAACACTTATCGCCTTTTTTTCAAAATATCTGAACTTATCATTATTGTTCATCTTAATGGGGTTAAAATATTTACTCACAGAAGGCACACTCTGACCTTGGACATTTTGGTACCAAGTACGACTAGAGCCGCGAGGATAAGTCAGATCGTACAGCTGCATCTTAATTAAAAAGCTGACATAATCCTCATTTAATTTAACTTTGCCCGAGGCGACATCATCAAGTAAATAATTACCAAACGCCCCGCTCCACCTCCACCTGCCTAGGCCAACGGCAATTAAGTCGAAGCAGCCGCACAGCCAACAGATTTATATTCATAAGCCAAGGCAACCTGGAATCTGCAGGCATTTATAATTGAATTCCTCGCCAACGCCCCCGACATTATAGTAATGAAGCCACCGGTCCAGTCAATTTCAATAACGCAATCAAATGCGTGCAGTTTCAAAAACCACAAATGTGAAGCGGTGCGGCAGATGCCGAGGGGGACCCAATTCCAATGCCATTGACATGCCCGGAATGAGTGTCCGGCGGGCAATCTCTTGGACATTCCCGGCACGTAGCTTCGATGGACCCGATACTTCTCCGGGAAAAGGAAGGCCACGATAATGGCCATGGCGAGTCGCATGCATATTTCAGTAATTTGCGCCGCCTTTTGTATGCCCCGCCCCTGCTCCCGTCCACCGGTTTCCGGTTCCCCTCTCCGATATTATTCGTCTACATATTTCATGAGACCCTAAGTTTGCGGATGCAGCAATTTGGGGGCTAAAGAAGAGAAACCTTACTGGAACCACTCAAAAAGTAATCGAAATGTCTGAGACAAACACACGCGTACGCACCTGAATGGCACCTGTATTTGTGCCATTTGCGTGGGTTTCTGTATTCATGACGCCTCCCCACCTATTCAGAAAGTCTCCTAGAAGAAGTCATCTTGATTTTCAATTTCGACGCCATTTGCGCTTCACCGGAATCGAGAGTCATTTGCATTTTTCTTCAGCTACACTTTCACTTGGAAAGTACTCGCATTTGCTGTTGAAATCGTAGAACATTTCAAGGATCAGGTAGTTGAAGGAGTTTCTGCTAGGAAATATAAAGAACCAGTGCAGATGAGATAAACTTGAATCCACCATAGAGACATGTTATGTTTCTATAAACTCGTTTCGAATTTGTATTTGTATCTGGAACTTTGATCTAAGAAATTCGAAAACTCAATTCCATTTTAAATCGAATGTGTCAGCATCCCTCCTCGATGAGAGTATTGGATGATGCCTAGTCAAAAAGTGCTAATGCTAATAATAAGTCGACACAATTGACAGAAAGTTTTTTCATTTGCAAAGGAAAGTAGCAGAAACACAAAGGCTCCCCCCAGCAATTTGTTGGCATCCCAGGAGCAATTTATTGAATGTGAAAATTTAAAATTGTTCATTTGAGAAACAATTTGTGAGCATAAAGTAAGTCGAAAAGCTTCGTTTTGTTATTCCAGCAGAGGCAGCCATAAGTTCGAATATATGGCAATAAAAATCCAAGATGTTCGGGGAGCAACAACAAGCGCCCAGAGAGCTTCTGAGTCTGTCTGACTGTATTTTTATGTGATTTCTCAGGCCATCTTCCATCTTCCATCTTCCATCTGGGGAGTCCTGGGGAAAGTGCTCTCATGCGAGATCGAATGGGGAAATGGGGAAAATGTTATGCCATTTATTTAGAGTATTCAAGTCTTTTGAACTCTCTCCCTGCCCACAACCATCTGCAGTGCCATTTGCAATTGTGCAATTTACCCAATGAAATGTAAATGCGAATCAATTGTAGTTTTATTTGCAGTAATTCCTGATTCGACAAACTCGACTTTGTGTAAACGCATTTAATTTCGAATATTCAATTTCCATTAGCATATTGCCGGCTGGGGCAAATATTGGAGTTTAAAGCTCTTAGTTAGTCAGTTAGGAGGAGCAACTAAAAGAGTTGAGGTCTCGTGGCTGCGGAAAAACATCAGAAAGCACTTTGCACGGGAGGGGAAACTTTTCGTGGCCCCCGAACATATGTACACATAGATGTACATATACATACATGGCAGGTACGTGAGGATGAGGCGTTCCCCAATCCAATTTGATTTGCCCACCCCCTCTGCCAACCCACGTGTGCCCTCTGTTTACACCTCTTGAGGTCGCCTGCCTCGCATGCATATCAACGATTTTCAAATTGGCGACGAAATGATATGCCAAACTACACGGCGCAGGAGGAAAATATTTTCTTCTCCCGGAAAATTGTGGCCCCAATACCAATCTCCTGTATGAGGACATGCAGCGACATCGACATTATCGGGGGCACAGGTTGGAGGTGGGAGGACCTCCGCAGCTTGTAGCTGTAGCTAATGCTTGTCACGTCTCCTTCAACATTTGACAAGGCAAATTCGCCGAAAATTCCGCCCTGACTTTGGGTCGACTCTTTGTTTTTTTCTACGAAACGAAGAAAATGATTTTCACAGGTGAATTGGAAAGCGCGTAATGTCGTAATGTTTGACTTGCCGGCAGGCACGTTGCCAACACATGTCCTCCAGCCCTCTGCCCTCTACCTTCTGCACTGTGAGAAAGCGGAGATTCTGGACTGTAAGTGGACAGCTAGTTAAGATTATTCCGTTTCCAAATGCGACTCTGGCTTCTGTACCTGAAAACCACTGCTGTCTTGAAACTCTTAAAAAGGTTACAGTTCTAGTTTAAATGTAAATTTCTCTTTGAAAACCAATAAACGATAAATCATTTGAGTGGGAAAATACAATTTAAAGTGTACGCTCACGTGTCGCATCGAACTGTGCGGACCACGGGGCGAATGCGTATTCCACTTTTGCAAATTGGATGAAAATCTTTGGCTTTTCAGCAACGCAATTCTTTGGGCCCACTCCGTGGCGTGTGGGATGCATCAGGCTGGAAATTGACATGTCTAACAGAGGGTTGCATTTCTCAAAAGGGCCAAATGGGAGAATTCCGAAGGCGGGCCTCCCTCATTCATCATGGCACGCCTGGCCGTGTCACACAACATATATGTTGTAGATTCGGGGCCAGCAAGCAGCAGCAACAATTTCCAAGAAAAAGGATTTACAGCATAGATCCGACACCTACACACAAGACAGGACAAGTTCTTGGCAGCTTACTCCGTGTTTTTTATTTTCCTGGGATTATTTCTGTAAACTTTTCACCCCCCTGCCCCTTGCCCAGCGCCGCTAGCCACGTCGCCCACCCAGCCGCATAGGAAAACAAATTCAAACAAATTGAAGAGCTCGGCTCACCTTGGTGCCCATTAAACGAGCTGAGCTGAACATGTGTTACGGCGTCCGACGAGTGCGAAATGTGCTCCACGTGGCCCGAAAGACCGTAACTCTTTGCTCTACGTTTTTATTGCCCCCAGAACTTTAAGGAGATTGCAGGAATCCTTTTCACATTTGCCACTGCCGTTGAGCTGCTGTCATTGGGGTTCATTGAACCGAACGTCAAGCGGGTCGCATTTCCGGATTCTGGAGTCTGGATTCCGGATTCCGTGTCTTGCGACTCCGCCGGAGTCTGCAAATAAACCCGGCTGAGTGGCCTGCTTGGAGACTCCACCTGGCTTTGATAAATGTGCTCATAATTATGGCTGCTGCTTTGAATGGCTTTCCTGCTTGTTCCTTAAATCCATGTTACGTGGCCTGCTTAAAGGCCATATCCACATCGGGTCTTAATTAATGTTGCATAATTAACAGTGGCAAGGGGGAGGTGAGCGGAAAAGGTAACTAAACAAAGTTAAAGCATGGCAAAGAAAAACAAAACAGAAAACAAAAACTTTTCTAAGCATCTGCAAAACATAAAGCATACAAATTCTCACATCCTTGCCGAAGAACACGAAAAAATTGCGGCCGGGCTCAAAGGAAAGTCCCAAAGGGCAAGCGGGGCCAAAGGCAAAAACAATACCCAAAAGGGGCGTGGTCGGGGATGGGTGAATTTTCCCAGTTTTTCGTCTTTGTTGCTGACAGCCTTTTGGCCACCTTCGACTTGGGGGAGCGCCTTCAAATTGGCGCCAAGTTTTAATTATTCCATCATATTTATAAACTTTTGTACTTGCCACGCAGACTCATTATGTGCGTCATCCACCCACACTCGCCCTCACACCCACAGAACAACAAAGCACACACTCGCTCTTCAATGGCAGCCTTAGCTGCACTGCGAGAAAAGAGGGGGTCTCTGGAACTGTGTGAAATAATATTCAGATTACATGGCTTTCGGTTCGTTTTTCCAGTGCCCAAGGAAAGTGCCTTGTTGTTGCCGCTGTTTCCCTCTTGTTTTTGTGTCGTATCACAATAATGGCAAGGCGACAACGGCAGGACAATGACGACGTCTGCTCCATCCTTGGCTCCAGTGGCAGGCCATGGAAAGGAATGGTGGGTGCCAAGAGCGGGCAAGGCGGTGGCACGAGGCGTTACTCCATAAAAATGAACAACAGCTTTTTATTGCCGAACAATGAAGGCGAAAGCAGCTCTAAACAACCAAAGCAGAGCAAAGTTCGACCTTTCCCTCCTTGGCTGGCGATCCTGTTTGCCGGAGTCCTCGTCTTTGTTTGCCGCTGCCGCCGTTGGTAAGAGCATTTAATGAGGCTGTCGCATTATTGTTCAATTGTGCTTGGAACGGCTGAGCCTGGCCAAGGAATTTCCAATAAATACGGCCCAGAAATTGAGAGAGTTGCTCTATAAAATGTTTATGGATAAGTCGAACGGGGAATTAAATCAAGCATTTGTTCGACTCAACTCAGAGACTAAACTTAACTAAAGAGTTTATGGGCCCATTAACTGAAAGCTGAATATAAAAGTCGCTTAAGCTATGGCAAGAGTTGCTGCTGGATCAAAAAACTATTATTT